TCATGGCTGCCATTTTCCTGTGATCCTCAATGTTTTGTTGTTGTTGTTTGTTTGCTTGTTGGTTGGTTGGTTGTTTTTATGTCTACTCTAGGTTTTCTGAATTAGTCCTTCATTATGGTCATCTCTCTTTTTTTTTTTTTTTTCAACATGGGAGACTCTTCTCTGATTTCCTCTGTAGCTTCATACTTTTTATTGTTGCTATTGCTCTCATTCCAGAAAATTCAAGTGGTTGACTTGTAATCGTCTGTATTACTTTGTCCCCTAGATTTGTCCTTGGTTTGCTGGAGATATGGGGTTGCATTTTTGCTTCTGCATCTTGTCATTTTTCGATTATTTTATTTTGTTTTCTGTGTTGGTGCTCGCAAATTTCTTACAGTATATAACTTTATTACTAGTATCAAGGCTTCTCTGGGGAATGTCTCTTCCTCAGAGAGGTCTTCGAAACATAAGTGATTCGTGGTTTTTGTGTCTGTCCCAATATTCTACCTTCCCAATGTAGCTAGTTACTCAGTACCTGGTCCTTCAGTAGTGGACTATGATAATGATTATGACCCCTGTCACAGTGTTTTTATTAAAGGGAAAACAACTGATTACAACAGATATGACATCCTGCCTAAAGCAGTACAATTAGCAATAGCATCAAGCACAGCGTAGAGCCTTACAGTCTGTGACAATTATTAATTTGGTACTTGTAGCTACAGGGCTAAGATCTACAGTTGTATAACAAAATTCAACATTAATCAGGAACTTGCATGCAATGTTTCCCCTTAGTAGTGAGATTTTACCCAATGATGGGGAAATTTAAGAGGGATAGGCAGAAAAACAAATGAAGAGAAATACAGTAGAAGCAAGGTTGGGAAATAAAGGATAATCACCCAAGCTTTTGGAAACTGGCAAAGGGTGTAGGAGAGAATGAATGATGCAGAAAGCAAAAGATTATGAAAAGGAACGAAAGACTGAAGACAGTGTTCACTTACATGAAAATATAAAGTCAAGAAAGGTAGTTGTGTAAAGAAGGAGATGAATAGAACACCAGTAGAATAAGGATGAAGACCTAAACAATGCAGGAAAGGAAAAACAAAAACACTTGTTTGTGTCTCAGTTGCTGAGGCATCCTCAGACTGAGACAGCCCAAAGCTGCTTGTTCAACTGATTCCTCCTCTTCTCTGTTCAGGTTCCAGTATCATGACTCTGCTTATGATGCTTATTGCAGGATGGATGGGATGGGGTTCAGTGACCTGACTGCTGCAGAGACAGCCAGTCCCTCTTCATTCTCCTCTGCCATAGATGGATTGCAAACCTCACACTCCTCGTTGTGCAAGATTGCTTAAATTCTCTCAAGTCACTGGTCATAGGGCAGGAGCGGTTGTTCTGTTCTACTCACCATTGTTGCAGTGAAGCTGCTGCCAGCACTGCTGTTGTAGTGCCTAACTTACTGACTCACTGGTTCTTCTGCCCACCTTGCAGACAGCTCAAGGCTGCTGGGTCGGGAAAAGTCTCTTTTCCAATGGGGAAGGGGGTAGGTGTACTATAGGTGTTTATGTTCTTGCATCTGCCTCCTCACAAGCTACTAATTGCAAGGCAGGAAGGGTTGTGGATCAAGTCTGCTGAGTTCCCTAACCTTGTCACTAGGGCTTTCAGTTGTATGAAAAAAAAAAAAAAAAGCTGATAGCCTATTATGAAGAGAGCAGTACCAGTAAAATTTGATGCCAAGCTGCCACATCCTCTGTGTAAAGTAAGGCAAAAGAGACACTGAGTGCAGTGAACTGCAAGGCTCTCAATCTTCCCAGGGTGAAGACTGTAAAGAGCAGTGAGATGGTGAAGAATTAAAGACAAGATACGGCTATCTGGGATCAGGTGGAGTCTTCTGATGAGACGAAAGGAACTGATCAACCATTGCAGTGTGTTTATTGATACATTTAGCAAGTTAATGTCATGCAACACCCCATGCCTGGCAGTCTGACTTCATGGTAACCTAAGAGCTTGGTGTTCTCTGGACTGGAGCAGCTCATTCACATGGCTTGCCTCAGGCACTCTTTGTTCTCCAGATGGCCTTGCTCCAGTTCCCATTGTGTCATCAATCTCCAGCTTCAACTTCTCCCAACAAGCCTTACATCCCAAATCTATCTTATTTGACTTGAGTTAGCCACACTTTTGCAGTCCATTAGTTTCTTGGAGAATTCCCAATATGACAATTTTTGCTCAGCATGTAGGAACCATGGACTGGTTCACCAGTTTGTAAAGTCCTATATCTATGTTTTGCTTTATTTACAAGTCTCTTATTTCAGATTGACTTTGGCATCAGGAGGTTTGTCCCTTCCTTTTCTCCAAATACCTGTGTTTTCAGTTGATCTTCTATGAGTAGCTCCAGCAAATACACTGAGTTCCTCAGAGTACTCAGGTTTTCTGCATCTCTTCAGTTTCTCTGAGTAGCTCCAGACTGGCTCTTGTTCTGTTCACCTATATTAAATCATCTTTCTCCTTCCTAATATTTTTAGCATAACCATGCATCTCAAATATCACAAAGGCGTATTGCTAAATACTTGAAATATTACTTTAATTTCTCATTTTAAATGTCAATTCAGTAGTCATATTCTCTTGTAACACAAATCTCTTTTTCTTCCAATCATCTTGACTAAGTTAATATTGTTTAAATATGAGAGTGTCATTATTTAAACTGGAGCCAATAAACAAGTGGTTATGCCAATTAGTACTATACGATGCACAAAACAACCTTTATCCTTTAAAGAAATGCTTTGTGTGCACTTCATTCTATGAAATGCTGAAGGTCAAGAGCATAACTAAGATGTTTCAATTACTGCCCTGCAACTGATAATGCTTACTTGAAAAAGGCTAACATGTACACAGTAAAAACTTAAGACAAAAAGAAATTACTTGTTTTAATAGAATTTTTGTTTATTATGAACGGTGCAGAAATGTTAAGGAAGCTTTTTGACCACCACAAGTTACATAGCTGGCCATTCCTTCTTATTTTTCATTGTCCCTGGGCTTAGAAGGAAACCTGGTAGAATATAACCAAGAAACGCCTTGTGTTTTTGTAGAGAAAAAGCAAGTGGCAGTCAAAAAAAATGTATATGGTGGGATCTCGGAACTGAACAATGTGAAGTACTTCTGCTATATTTCTATGAAGTACAGTAATATTCTTACAGTTTTTTGAGTAAGTACTATTTCGGCTTTTCCCCTTGTATCATAGGGAGATTCATTCTTACTCTTGCCATTACTGTTTGAGGTAAAAAAACGTATCAGTCATTGACTCATATACTTCGTGTAGAAGCATTGAAGAGTATTAGACTGCCCAAGTAATACATACCAGTGAAAAATTATCTTGACCTGTTTTACATTTTAAACCTAAAATTTGTTAGTGTCTCTAATGGTCATTTGTGATATTTATGGATAACATCTTCTGAAAATCTTATGTATACTCTAAGGACAGTCATTAGAAATAAAGCTGTATCATTTACTTTGTCTTGTTAAGGAGTTAAGGTCATTAATTCTTCCTTAACATAGTACGTGGTGTTCATAAATGTGCTTTCCTTTCATTCTTACTATATTTAATGTAAGATAATATCAATAAACCCTTCATGTGCAAAAGACAGATAATCCCTCCAAGTTGTGACAAAAGGAGTTGATGTGCATTCCACATGGATTAGAACTGTCTCTATGATTCTGTTAGTTTATCTCATTTTTCACTCATTCGTATGTATATTATTTCTTTCCACTTTATTCTTTTCAGTGTCCAATTAAAATTTACCACTTCCTTTCCATTTCAGATGCATTTTGAACAAGTTTTTATAAGTATATTGTTCTAGTTCTGAGCTCAAAATAACTGAATCACCACTTTTCTTCAAATTACTCTAAAGTTGCCTGAAAGTCCTGGACTCAATCAATCCCCCCGTCTCAGCCTCTGAAGTAGCTAGACTCTGAGGTGTATGCCACCATGCCTGGCCTGAACTGTCCATAAAGTGGCTGTCAATGAAAATATGACCTACTAGGAACAAACTTTTCTAGTTTATGTTTCCCATTATTGAGAATTATCAGTATGGAGAAAGGTGGGTCAGTCGGTATAAGTTATAGAAGAAGTAAGTTCTGGTGTTCTTTTGCACACTACTGTGAATATAGATAAAAAATATATATATTTCAGATGTGTAGGAATTAAAAAGAAACCAAGTACTTTTTATGAGAGAAGAAAAGAGATACTTTGAGAGTACCTCAGAAATTAAGCTAAATTCTACCCATTATATACTCTCTGTGTCTAACAGTGAGCAAGATGACTGACAATGTTTTTCTGCATTACTGGACTCAATTTTCTAATATCTTCTTGGGGATTTGTGTGTGAGGCTCATGACAAACGCTAGTTGGTAGCTTTCTTGTAACATCTTTGACTTTAATAGGATACTTCTGGTCTTATGAAATGAGTTAGAAACTATTCTGTTTCTGTCTTCTGAAGAAATTTGGCAGAATTTTTTTCCTCAAAGGTTTGTTAGAATTCAGTATTAAGAACCCACATGGAGTTAATATGTTCTGCTTCTGTAATATTTTTAATTTTGGATTCAAATTGTACTAATTATGTATTTAATGTAGTTGCTTTATTTCATCTAAGCTTTCAAATTTGTGTATGTAGAACTTTTCATTATTATCCTTTTAATGTCCATGGAACCTTCATCATGTTCTCAGGGATATCCCCTCTTTCCCTTCAGATATTAGTAATCCTGTTGTCCTTTTTTCTTAGCTGAGTAAAAGCATATTCATTAATCATTTCAAAGGATAATAAAAATATAATAACCAAGACTATTAATCAGCCTCCCTTCCTCTATTTTGCTAGTGGCCAGGAAATAATAAAGGAAATACAAACATAAATATGTAGACAATTTTTCTAAGTCTTTAGCAAACATATTTGAGCTAGTTAAATGAGACTTTTTTTCAACAGGAATTTTTTCTGAAATTCAAATGTATTATTAACAAATGACAAAAACCAAGGAAAAATCCAATAATTCTTTTAATGTTTTAAAAATACTACCTCATCTTTGCCACAAGCTAAAAAATTTTCAGCACTTTTAAGGAAAATTTATACATAGCTTTCAAGTTCAAGAATTTAGAAACTAAGTTTCCTTGTTTTATAGCTAATAGCTTATCATAAGCACCGGTTTATGTGGATAGAGGAATATCACAGTTGATCATGTTTTATGGTAGAGACAGAGCCTGGGTAGAAAGATCCATCTGAAGAAAAATTATCTAGTGAGGAATCTTTTGCTTCTAATGAGTTTAGTCAACTTTCTTTTCTGGAGTAAAAAGTAATTTAAAAAAATACCTGACTCAGAGCCCTGTTAATGAGGCAGGTCAACAAGTTCTACTCAGATGACTGTGTAATTCTGTTCACTCGGTACCATTGGGGTTGAAACTCCATATGGGTTGGTGACAGTAAAAATGGGCAGGGCATCACTAGAGCATGTTTTGTAAATCAAATACAGCCAGTCGGTACATAGATGACAGTAAGGTGGAGAAAGGGCATGAAGGGTGAGTTCAGTGTACTACAAGTCAGGAACTCTTTTAAAATTTGGCTTCCTAGCATAGTGCTTTTAATCAAATGAAGGTCATTTGCAGTTACTTCTAATCAGGGTCTAAAAAGATATAGTCAAAGATTAAAATTTAAACTAAGAAGTAGTGTGACTACTCATACCTTTTTGGATCCTAGGCACATAATTAGTCTCAATAATACAGTGTTAGAGGTCATATATTTAGTGAACATGGGAGATCAGATGGTATACTATTGAAAATTTTCTTGGCCCAAAATTAATCTGACAGTGCTAAGCTGACAGATCATTTATTATTAAAGGAGAAATGTTATTAAAAGTAAACATTGGTAATACTGTATGAAAATATTTTATATACAGTTATAGTATAGTGTCAAAATTAAATATACACAATCCATTAATTAAAAAGCTAACATATATTATTCTCTTGAAAATATACCTCCCAAATTGAAAACTCATTAAGACAACTTTTATCATACATAAATGTCAAAAGTAACTTAGTACAAAGGCTTAGCATTCCTAGACTAAGAAATTTCTACCTTCTGAAATGATCCATTATTTCATTTAAAAATATTTGTTATACCATTTATTAAAGGCACTGTGTTATATATTCATATTTAAATGTATTTCTTAATCTCTCCTAAATATTTTTGGCTTCTTTATGTTGTTGCTTCTTTAAAGTATATACTTCTCTTGTCTTCACGAGCATTTTTCCATCAATGTTAATCCTAAAACATCTCCAGTGTAGATGATGTCAATCTTTATGCCAAATACAGTACACTGACGCATGGTGGACCGTAAAATTCTTCTGATAACAAAATGATGCTAATTTAATCCTTATTACCTTTATATACTTCATAGATTTGATTTCTTCTGAAATATTTAAACAGGTTTTACAAGCTTTATTGCACATGATACTTTATGTGGATTGTCTTGCAAAATCAGTATAAACTTAATACTGATTGATATATGTCCACATAGCTATAAAATAGTTTTTTCACCACAATACTCAGTTTCCATTGTTTATGTCAGTTTTCTGGTACTACAATGTCAGTTTCACAATTTTTCTCATTATTTTTACTAGGTTGTCTTCAGTAACTTCTAGGAGGCTTTCTACCCTCCAAAACTGCATAAGCAAATTATTGGAGGATGCAGCCAGTTCATATATTCCACTCATATTTTCCAGTGTTCTTTAATGCCCTCTCAAAATCTTATTCCAACAAGTTTTTATCTTTTGTAATAGTGTCTTTAGGAAACACTGGTCATTCTTTTTCGGTTCCTTTGAAACAGTTTCTTCCTAGAGAAATAGATTAAACAGTTATAATTTTATAGTTTTATCTGCTTAATAATCATATAAATTTGATTTCACTTTGTTTTACATATAATGAAACTGAGCCTCAAAAAGTATAAACAAGCACCAATGTCACATGGCGAATATAGTGGCAAGACTGGAGTTTATCTGTCCTATTTTTAATTTAATCATAAATTGAGATCACTCTTAGCTGTATACTTAGCAACCCTAAAATATTTTAACTAATACCAAACATTAGATTAGAAACAAGCAGGAAAATTTTCATATTATTTGCAGTGAGAGTTTGAGGACATTTATAAAAAATACAAACTGAAGTTTACTTGACTTAGTAGATGTGTTTGACTAGGAGAAACACAGTTGCTCCTTTATGTCTGTAGTTGCCACATCCTCAAGTTCAACTAACAACAAATTGAAAATATTTGGAGGGGCTGGGGGTTTAGCTCAGTGGCATAAGCGCCTGCCTTGCAAATGTGTGGTCCTGTGTTCGATCCCTGGTACTGGTAAAAAAAAAAAAAAATTTTTGGATAAAATGCACTTATACTGTCTGTGTATGCACAGTTTCTTGTCACACTAAAACAATCACAGTGCATGTATAAACTATTAAGGATTATAAGTAAACTAAGGATAATTTGAAGTATGTGGGAGGAAATATGTAGGTTATATGCTATATTCTTTTATATAAGGGACTTAAGCATCCATAACTCTTGGTTCGTGAAATGGAATTTCCAAATTAATCTGCCATAAATACTGATGTATAACTGTATAGATGTAAAAAAAAAAAACCTCAAAAAGTCTTGATTTTAGGTGTGGAGTCCTGGGAACATAGATGTTATCACACCTGTCTATCTCAACTTTTTGAATTCTTAGTCACAACCTTTTTGGGTTTTTGTTGTTGTTGTTGTTGTTGTTGTTGTTGTTTTGGGTTTTTTTGTCTTTTTCTTTTTTTTTATCGGTACCAGGGATCAAACTCACACTGCCTGCATGCAGGCGCTTATGCCGCTGAGCTAAATCCCCAGCCCTAGTCACAACCTTTTTGGAACTTTTATATTTCTTCTAGCGCATTTCAGATTTTCTACTTCCAGTGGAATTTCTCTGGCTTCCTGACTCTTAGAATGTAAAAACTCATCCTTCTTTAAGAATAATAAGGAATTTTCATGTCCTCTTTTATCTACCAATCAACAACATAATAATAACAGAAATGTACAAGAACCCAGTCACATTTTGAATCATTTTGCAGTATCCCATTCTATTTAACACACCTTTTAAAAACTTAATCAGATTCAATTAAGACTGCCTTTAAAATTCATAAATATGTTCCATACATCTGTATAATTTTGTAATAGTTCCTAGTAACTCATATATATATATATAATAGAATACTTATATTCTATACAAGGAATGCACAGTTTTTATAGTATACTCCATTGGATATTCATTGGATTTTTTATTTCATAAACACTAGCAATTATAGCTATTTAAAAAAAAACTAACATAAAGGCACAAAATTGTAAATAAGCTTGGGAAATACAAGACACCAAGAGGAGACTGGCCTTCATCAAGTAAATAAAGCAATGGTAAAGTTGTTCAAGTTATAAAATCTGCTGTCATTACAGATAATCTTTTCCTTTTACATTTTGTTGGAAACTATTAGTACTCAAGCAAAGCAAAACAATTATTTTTCATACCATAAAAAAATTTTTTAAAAGGTTCTTAAGAAACAATTTGTGTGTCAGCTGGTAAAATCCTTGAAGAGGGAGACAATAGCAAGAGTAATAAACATTATTTAAGCATTAAAAACCCTTTAGTACTAAGCACATAAAACAAATTAAGCCATTAAATCCTTTTAGCATCTATAGTGCAGATTTGCAGATGAGAAAATCGCCTAACATCAGATAATGTCTTTCACTTTTGATTTGTTGTTTTTAATTCACAACTTTTAGTGAAAAATAAGGAAAAATTTACCATATTACTATCAAAATTATTAAATCAAAACAAAACTGATGGAGTTATATATACCTCGGTTTAATACAAAAAAAGTTATAAAATATATTTGGTTTCCTGTTTTATTTACTAGGATGTATACAATGTAGACATAATATGAATTGCAGTAAGTTATACAGATAAAAAAAATAATTTACTATTTCCCCTACAATTTATTACCCTAACTTCCTTGAAAATGTGACAATGAAGAAATTCATTTATTTTCACTCTCACAAACTGTTCATTTCCCTTAGTCAGGGTATAAATACATACTTTGCAACAAGTGGAGATTTTCTTCTTCTACAGTAAATGTGCTTCAGCTTTAAGTGATCACAAAACTTAGAATTCTATAGTAATGGATATTATATGGTATCTTAGCACTAGTTTACATTTTTGCTAAACAGTCCCAGCTTACCTTGGTGCAGTTTATCAGTTTTAATGTGCCCTGTGAAACTTTTAGTAAGTGTAGCTCAAAATCTGCAGTGATATTCATTTTAACAAATTGCTCCAACTTATAAGCAGCACGATTTAGAAAAGCAGCTTCCTATTAAGGGACAAAGAAGAGCAGTGGTTGAAATAAAATATTAAGAATATAAGTTGTCTTAATGATCCTAAAGCCAGAACTGTATTATTGCTAAGTAATGCCCAACCTCCTTTCCAGCACTCTATTCCTGTTAATCACGTGACTGACAAGTAACAGGACTGAAACTGTTTAGCTCCTAGGCAACGGCTTGAAGCGCTCAGAACTTGGTTTAATGACTATCTGACTCTTAAAGTCTTTTTTTCTAGTCTGTGTGACCTTATCTTTCATGAATGAAAACATTACAAAGTCTATTCAATATAAAACCAGGATGACTAAAGGAGACGGCTTCTGGAAGCAGTGATGATGAAAGGTATGTGCATTTTTCTTACATATATTACTTTTGATCCTTTAGAGTCTGGGAAATAGCTGGTATTTAGAAAATAAAAGGGCCAGATCGACTAACATGTAAGCTTTTATATAATTAAAGTAAGCAATTAAAAGTAATGAATTTAAAAATATGAGATGCCATAAAATAACTTTGCTTTTGTGAGTTTGAAAAACACTATCCAATAGCACAAAAATTCTCTAGAAAGAAATAAAACAAATTTTGGACATTTTATACACTAAAATATTATGCCAACTAGAAATAATACTGGTTTAAAATTAAGGAAATATTGAAAATATTTTTCAAGATGTCTACAACTAAATTATATTCATGACTTATATATGTGTAAACAATCACTTAAAATAAATCTTTCCCTGCATAACAAATAGTAGAGAAAGACATGTGGTTTTGAATGGAACAGTCCTGGTATTTTCAAGGTGACATTATAGCAGAAAAATAAAGGTATCTATTAAGGATAAAACAGCAGTAAAAAGGACACAGAACTATAACTTTATAGATCAGTAGGAATTGTGTGGTTTAGAACAAAAGAATGTTATTAATATAATTAATGTCTACCAAAGGAACAAAAAATACAACTAAAACTTTCTATGAGATTTGAATGACAAACTCCAAGTAATTATCATTATTACCTTTTTATCAGCACATGAATGTTTTTTAAAATAGTTTGGTTCTTTTTTCAGGCAATTGCTGTCAATGTGTAGCATTTTGTCCTATAATAAAAATATAAAATGATATTATTAAAACTGAGGACTTTCCTAAAATATAATAATTATAAAATAATCATATGATCTAGTATCTATGTGTGAATTTTTAAAATGAAGAAATTTTTGCCTTAGTCCGCTTACTTGGCATGAAGAATAGTTTTCTGTAGTCTAAGAAAAAACTATGAAGTCTGATAGAAATATACACTAAATATTTTCTCCCTCAAAATGCCTTTCCATTCCTGCTTCAAACACACTTCTCCTATCATTCTTGCTGTTTTCTAAAGCAATGTTACTAAGTGCCACCCAATGGAAAGACAGGCTCATCAAAAAGATTATGGTATGACCTCAGTCACCTTCTTCATCAGATCTCACACTTGAGACTTCTGGCTCCTCCCTGAAGTTAAAATAACTGTGAAAACTAAACATTTTGAATTGATTCAGGATATCCTGGAAGCTAAGACAGACAGCACAACTTAAGACACAAAACTGCTTCAAAAAGTGGCACAAATGATGGGATATGTGTTTGAAGTCAGGAGTACTCTGAGAGACATTAATGGCATGTGTCTTTTACTGTAATACATTTTGAAAAAGAACCATCTATCGTATTTTTCAGTGACACCATATATTCACTTTGTATGTTTATAATGCCTGATTCCATAAGGTAATTAAAATAATTAGCTGAGATTGTGGCTCTTGCAAGGAAATAAAAGTACCTATTTTAGAAGGTATACTGTATTGATAAATATTATAAATTTTGAAATTAAGAAGCTGAAACAGAATTAAGATGTTATTTCACCCATTCATGGTCTCACAACTCTTCAAATAGGAAAGAAAATTTACAATGAAGGAAAAAAACATCTTGATAAAGATAAGGTTGAAATTCATTCTTCAGCATTTATAAGTAATCTGATTTGTCTAGTATGGTGGAGGTGGAATTCTGATGTGAAATAGTGGGTTTGAGTACTACTATACATTATAAATGTAGACCGGGAAAGCAGACCATTACCAGTAAATGCTTTGTTTGTTTGACTGTTTGCTTGAGACAGGATCTTGCTACATAGTTCAGGGTAGCTTTGAACTCACTATGTAGCCGTGGCTGGCTTTGAACTCATGGTGATCCTCCTGCCTCAGTCTCCCAAGTGCTCAGATTACAAGTGTTCACCACCACTCCCAACTCAGTATATTCTTTTTCTCGTTTGTAAGGAATGTAGAGTAAAAAGTCAGGCTTACCTGGATCAAGAATTTAGCTGATACAGTAGGAAGAACTTTTCTAAGAGTTAAGATTCTTTCATGCACAGGATTGGACCAGCAATATCCAGCAACCTAGCAATTCTATGCTAACATAGTTTTTAGGGAGATTTTAAGCAATATTAACTGACAGGATATCATCAAAGGGTAAAAAGTAAAGAACAATAGCAGTTCTAAGGCATAGCCTTTACATCTTCATCTACCTGTCATAAAATTATGCATCATTCCTGTCAACTATGAAAAGCATATATGGATACTATAGTTTAAATCTAAAATGTCCCCCCAAAACACTCGTGCCTAAAGGTGGGTCTTTTTCAGGTGACTGGATTATAGGAATAATATATTCTTCAGTGGATTAATCTGCTGATAAGTTTATTTCTCAGTATGTTGTTAGGAGTTGGGACCCATTTGGAGATGTAATGGGAAGGGCATGTTCTTGTTGCTGGCTGTTTTCTATGTGTCTGCTTCCTGGCTCCCATGGGTTGAATGCTTTGCTCTGCCAGGTCCTTTCTACATGCTGTTTGTGACTTGGAGCCAGCCAGCCATAAACTGAGCCCTATGAAAGTGTGAGCCAAATAAACCTCTTCTTTAGATTTTAAGTGTCAGGTATTTTTGGCCCAGTGATTAAAGTAAGTCTCTGGACTTATCCTGTCTTTAATACCTATACAGTATTTGTTTTAACTGACATGGAAATGATGACTAAGTGAATAATTTTTATTTAACCATTCAACATTCAACAAAAAACCATTATACAAGGTTTTCTGCAAAACCTGATATGGAAACCGAGAAGAACACAGTCTTAGTTTTCTGTGCAATTTAGTAGAAAGGGTGGTCACTGCATCCTTTGGGTATGTTTATATTCTTCATACCTTTGAAAAAGTATTCTTTAGGACATTGATTTGTTGGTACCAACTATCTAACTCATACTGCAAAAGTGTCAAGTGAAAAAGATACATTTAACCATCTTTAAGTTGCCGTTATACACATTCCTAAAAATTGAGTGCAGAATTAGTATTTGTCAAAAAAGTAATTTTTCTGCTGACTTCCATTTAATCTTAAGAAGGACACTGAAACATCCATCAATTTTTCTTTGGTAAAATATGACTAATTTTGCGACGATTGTAGACTTTATGTAAATATAGCTAATCTGCATAATTTTTTCAACACACCAAACAGTATTAGAATGTGACAATTACTGTCCATTTTTGAAGTATTTTATCAAATTACACAACACTTGAATATTTTAAAAACTTTGTTAGTCTTACCAGTACTCCAGGTGTTTAATAAGATTTTTTGTCAGATCTACAGAAACATAATGATACATCAGTTTACTAAATACTAGACTTGCTTTATCAAGTAGTTGTTGCAAAATCTAAACTTAATATTATACTCTTCCAAGTTCATTTTATATCAAGGTCACAATTTTTATTAACTACCTTATTTTAATACAGTTTATGAGTATAGTTAACACAGGACTCCGTGAGTACCACCAACTAAAATTTTTGTAGTTAAGTCCTATGAGAAAAGCAACTCAGGAAGAACCTTAGGTAGTCATCGCTTGATTTAGCAAAAAGTAGAATTGCTCCGTGAATGTCAAGATAATATTTTCTTACAGGAATCTAATATAAGTGAAGATTACTTCAAATTCATTGTGAAAATGAAAAAGAAAAGCCAACATCATATTGACTATGAGCTACATTACTTTCCATAAAACATGGTGCTGTCATTCCTAAAATATGTAATGTTTTTTCAGTTTGGAGAATTAGGTCTTTAACATCAGCAGTTTTCTATCTTTGAAATTTTAATTATTACACACTTAATTCTTTTTAAAAACACTAATCTTGTATAAAATAGATCTTCTATTTCACTTTAATAATCATCCTTTTTATTTTAGTTCTTTGTTACATGTGCATAGTATATTATTTTATAGTATAGTTTAGTACAGTCTTTATGCGGTAATAGATAATGAACACAAGCAATACCAGATTCTTATCTTCATGTTGAAAGTCAAGAGTAAAAGGGGCCAAAAACAGTTGTGGGAATATATTTCAAGCCTCTGCTCTGGTTTTTATATGCTTATTCCTTGTGGGAAGTTGACACATGTACATAACACATCTTAATTTCTTTTTTTAATCCATATATATAGTGTATAATGTTTACATACCTTGCATGGAATATATATATATATTCCAAACTTTTTTGGGGTCCTTTTGTTAGTATCAATACATAGAATTTTCTTTTTGATTTTCCAAAAGAATGTTCAGGCAAATTATTATTCAGCTAATTTTAAGATCTCTATACCTCTAATTGGTTGAATGCATTCATTTCCCAAGGCTGCTATAACAGATTATCAAAATCTTCATGATTCAAAATAAAGATTTCATTGTTTGTCTCTCTTGTCTTCTGGTGGCTTCACCACTCGTTGGTTTCTTGTCTTAAGGACATACAGCGTGTCTTTGTCTCCATGTTCACATTGCTATTTTGGTGTCTCAAATCTCCCTGTGACTTTCTCTTAATGACACCTGTGGTAGCATTTAGGGACCACCTGGATAGTTCAGGATAACATGTCAGAATGCTTGGCTTTGTTACATCTGCAGACTCTTGTACTTTATAAATTCCAGGAACTAGAATTTGATGTACCAGGTAGCCGTTAGTTAGCCTACTACAGAGAATACATTTCTCTGGCCCTAGATGTTGGGTTTGACCAAAGAATTTCAACAGTGGATATTAACAGGTTATACAATAAAACAACAACATTTATTATTATAAATTTTCTGTGGGCCAGGAATTTAGGAGCAGCTTGACTAGGAGCTTTCAGATTTTCAACTTCCATAAGGATGCAGCTAAGATGTTAGCCTTGTTTGTAGTCACCTTACTGGGAATAGAGTATCCACTCCCTCTGGGTCTCTGTCATACCCGTATTGGTAGAATACCTCACCACGTGAATCTTTTCACAGATTATTTTAGTGTCCTTATAAACTGGTGTCTGAGTTTTCCTAAAAAACGTAACACAAGAGCAAGGGGGAGGTTTTATGCCATTTATGGCCTCGTCTTAGAAATCACACATTGCCTTTTCTCTCTTACTCTATTGCTTTGATTTAAATCATTAATATCAGTCTACATTCAAAGAGAAGTAAATTAAACTTCATCTCTTGAAAGGAGAAGTGTCAAAAATTTGTGGACATATGTGGACATAAAATTACTATACATGAATCAGAATGAAGTACAAAGGTTGTCAACTTTAAGTAATTATTATACATGTGAGAACATACATGCAAAAATCCTCAGAAAATATTAACAAATAAAGTAGAAGAATGCATTTTCTTTGCTGCATACATTTCCTGACACTATAAGATTAAGAAAGTTTTAATTGACTCATGTGTTCAGTTGGCGTTTGGCTTACTCCAAGCTAGAAACACCATGGGTGAAAGACAAGGAAAAGCAAAGCTGCTTAGATCATGAAGGCCCAGACACAAAGCAGGGAAACACTTCCAGACAAGAACAGATGATAAAAAATTTATAATGCCCAAGGTAACACTATGATGACTCAACCAGATACATTTAGTGAGCGCTAATCTGCTGGGCATTTTTTTTAAAACCTAATCAAGTTGATACATCAGGATTAATGGTAACAATCTACCTCTTAACAACTTTAAACCCAAGCACATTTCCTTAAACCATTCTTAATCTATAAAAACAGAAGCAAGTTTATAATCCTACCTAACATAATACTGTACAACTACCCACATATAATTGTA